TGCTCTTTGACCTCCATCTGGCGTTGCCTTTCAGCTTGTATCATCCCAGCGGAAACCAAACTTAATGCCTCAGATTGCTGCTCGTCCTCCTTGCCACTCGGAGATTTCTGACCAGATGGAGTTGAGCCTGCACCCAGGACCGAAGTATAAAACTCTCTAGCTTTGTCAACTGTATTCAATCTATAACGTGTCCCCGCATGGCTCAAGACGATACCCATCGGAATTTCCCATCTAAATGGCATCGATCTGACTTTAAGCTCATTGGTTAAGAAAGCAAAATCTTTCCTGCTTCTTAAAATTTTGGATGGGATTTCCTTTAGAATGATAACATCTTGGGCAGCAATCTGGAATCTTTTGTTGTAAAAGGCTTGTATAAACTCATTCCGCAGGGACTTCTTTGTAAAATAAATCACCACATCTCTAGGCAAATTCTTCTGCTTGGCAATCCAAGAGTTAAGTCTATACATTTTTTCCACTTCTCTGCTTAATTCTCCTTTATCCATATCCAAGGCCACTGCCAGATCAGTAAGAACCACCTCCACCAAATCTTGATTCATATCTTCCTTGAGGCCTCTAATCCTCAAAGCATACTCCATCTGTCTGTACTGAAACATCAAGATGTCTTCTTGTGAGGACTCCACCTTCCTTTCCACATCTTGAATTTTATCATCAAAAGAATCAACTTTGTTTTCCACTTCCTCAAGCCTTGCATCCAGCTTGACCACCACGGTAGCCAAACCTGAAACTGCTGCAAGTATATCTTGTCGCAAATCATTATTGTTTTCTTCCAGTTTGGTCTTTATCCCCTTTATCTCTTCTTTAAAATCAGATTTAATTTCTGATTTAATCTGTGTAGCAAATTGCTTCATTTCCTCTCTCATTTGGACTACAATCTCTCCCATTATACCTCTAACCTCTTGTACTGAAAGTCCAGGCAAAGGGGGGGAGGGTGGTGGCTGAGCCGGTGGTACATGTTTAGTTTGTTGTTGTAATTGTGCAGTAGAAGTTATAGGAGAAGAAACAACCTTAGGTATTGAAGAAGGCTGCTGTCTCTTTGAAGCCATTTTAAAAAGCACAGTTCTCACTTCCCTTTCCCCTCCACACAAGAAGGGAGGAGGAAAGAAAAAGAAAAAGAATTTTTTAAAAGAGACACACTATAGTCCTTGAAAATCCAGAGAAAATCCAAAGAATAAAAAGGCGAACAAATCAAAAGAAAAAAAAATTCTATGCCAAAAACAAAAGCAAAATCCAATCCTTAAAAAGGGAAAGTAAAACAAAAAGGAAAGGAGAAAAAAACTCCGACACTTTCAAAACGCCATCTTAAATCCTTTCACTAATATAACAAAGAAAGGAAGGAAAAATAGTCAAAACCAAATAATAAAAAAAATAAACACCTAAATTATAAAACAAAAATCCTTTAAACTGCTCTGTCCGTTTAAAATTTACTCACCAAAATACTATAAACACGGAGATAGAAGCGGCAGTTTCTTTTGCTTCCTAGGAAGCAAAAACAGCTGGGAGGCGGAGATCAGCAGGAGCTTCGAGGGAACACTCCTTTCACCCCCTCTAGAAATAAATCCAGAGGGGGTTCAGGGGTTCTACCTCTATTCCTGCGTTCTCTGTCCCTTCCCTTTGCCCGGGAAGGGAATTTCGAGCCGCGGGCCAGCTGATGCACGCTGTGCTCCGCGGCTCTGACACTTCGCCAGCTGGACGGCTAGAAGATAGCCGCCATCGCCGTCGCCTCGTACCGGAAGCTCCAAGAGTGACTTTAAAATACCATTATGGGCTATACCTTGGCATGCGATAGAGGGGATAAAAAGAGGTGTCAGAATGGATACGGTGTCTTATACACAGTTACTCAGATGGGATGGACAAAACTGGCAGTTAAAATTATTGGAAGAGTTAGTATATGAAAATATTACTTATTCTTGGTTTCAATATAGACAATTAGCAGATAGATGGAAGATGGATCGTAAGGTGGGTTTTCTCAGAGAAGATGAAAATCTTATTAAGCAAGTAAAGGACCAAAGACAAAGTCATATTAAGAGAATTTATGGGGTTCTAGTGGAATTGGATTCAGAAACAGAATTAATTAAAGATTGTATGATTAAATGGGCGCAGAATTTTGGTGAACCAGTTCTACTGGATACCTGGGAAATTATTTGGGTGAGAAATGTTAAATTTACACAAGCACAGAATCTAAGGGAGAATTTTTATAAAATGTTTTATAGATGGCACCTTGATCCACAAAAAATGTCTCTTATGTACCCTGACCTACAGCCTAAATGTTGGAGATGTGGTTGTTTGGATGCCACCTACTATCATATTTGGTGGTCGTGCAGAAATATAAAAGCTTTTTGGATTAAGATATGGTGGAATATTCAGAGAATTTTCAGAAAGAGGGTAAAATTTACTCCACAATTATTTTTGTTAGGTATAGTTACTGATTGTGATGCAAAGGAGGTTATATTGATGTTGAATTTGATTACAGCCGCAAGGCTGTTAGTAGGACAATATTGGAAGAAGGAATCTTTGCCTACTTTGCAGGAATGGTTTCTTAAAGTATCTTATCTGGCGGAAATGGCAAAGATTTCGACTTTCCTAAAAGAACAATCGCAAGAGAAATTTCTTGCTGTTTGGGATAAATGGATAAAGTTTATACAATTTAAATTGGATATAAAAAAATATCATTTAGCCTTTTTATAACTCTATATATATATATATATATATATATTAGTGTTATATTCTTTTTTTTATATAATCTGTTTAACTTTTTTTAATTAAGCCTATATTCTGCTCTGGGAAGCTCCGGGGGGGGGGAGGGAGTGGGTGTTTTGGGGAAGGGTTGTTTTGTTTTGTTTTGTTTGGTTTGGTTTTTTTTTCTTTTATGCTGTTGTTGTATTGTCATTTTTTTTGTTTTTCTGTAAAAATTTATAAAAATTTTCAATAAAAAAAAAAAATTATCTGAATCCTGTACTGTGAGCAAGGCCTCTAGTCCAGTCCGGTGTTCCTGAGCTGGTGCCCCCTGAGCTGCTCACAAGCAACCTGAGACCAAAGCTTTACTGAAAAAGATATCCCATTATCTGAGTAATAACTTTGGGGGACCAAGCCTTTGCCCATTTGATCCACTACAGTCCACGGTTTTCTATACTTTCTAATAGGTACTGCATTTTTTGCAGTCTCCTCATAAGCCATGGTTTACATGGGAATGCAGCAAGGTTGAGAATTGTACATACAATATTCTAACTGCCAGAGGGGAATTAAAAGTGGGTTGCTATTCATTATTATCAGTTAGATGTTGTTGCTGTACTTTGTCTGCCTAGCAAAGATTTTAACCATATATATACTAAACCATTCATTTGGCAACCCTTCACAGTTAACAATGCTAACAAAACAGAAACTTTGCGTCCAGTGCCTGCATTTATGACCTTCAACAGGTCTGTAAAGCAAAAGAAAGCTGAGGATCATAAGCACTTTTACTTAGCGACCATTTTGCTTGATGACCATTTACCAGTCCCAATTGTGTTGCTAAACAAAGTCTATCTGTGTAGTATTTGCTTAAAAACCCACGGGATTATCTGGAGATGTTAACACAATCAGACTAGTGAAGTAGGGAAACAGAACTGATTTGTCAGAATGTTTTCCACTCCTTCCAGGAACAAATCTCAGTCATCCTGTTATTACAATTCCTTTCTGGCTACTGCTGGGAATGGCATCACAATCTACTGCACTGGGGCTTTTCAACACAAGTGGAATATAGGCACTATCTATTCCTTCAACCTTGCTATCAGTGACTTCCTCTATGTCTTCACCTGGCTCTCCTTGACCATCTATTACTTCTCATCAAAAGACTGGACATACGCCTCCATTCTCTATGCTTTTATCCATTTCTTCTTCTACAAGTTGTACATGTCATTTTTTTTCACTGCATGTTATCAGCCTGAATGTTTATGTTGTTGCTTTCTTCATTCACCACATGCCCAACTTCTAAGTGGAATACTGTAGAGTGTGGCTGATAGTGGAACGACTTGCCTCCAGAAGTTGTGAGTACTCCAACACTGGAGGTTTTAAAGAAGAGACTGCAAAACTATTTGTTCAATGGTATAGGATTTCCTGCTTGAGCAGAGGGCTGGACTAACAGACCTCCAAAGTCCCTTTCAACTCTGTTATTCTGATATATGGCCATCTCATCTCTGGTCCTCAGTTTCTCCACACTGAACTTTGTCTTAAAAAAACGAGAGCCAGTTTTATATCGTGGTTAAGGTACCAATTAGAAACCAGGAGACCCTTCTTAAGCTCAAAGCCTTAGGTCAGTCACCCTATCAGTGCTAGGAAGCAGAGCAATGAGAACACTTCTGAAATCTTGCCAAAAAACCTGCAAGGATGTGTCCAGGAAATCATCAGAAATCAACTCTTAAAGGCACAAATAAAACAAAACAAAAATCCTTCCAACACATAGCAAGCATCTCTGATGAGCAACAGCCCCATCTAATGGCAACATTCTGATGCTGAAAACGTGCAAAGTGGAGACGCTCATTTCAATGGTGGTGGTACTCACATTCTGCAAAATCTGTACTTCTCCATCATAGGCTGGTGTTACATTAATTAAATTGCAATTACTAATAATTTATTATTTGCCCAATCCTTACTCAAATGAAATAATTAGTTTTGTCCCCTGAAGAGTGTGGGGTCATGTTCAGCTATCATTTTAGGGGAACATTGCACTGCCATGTTTGAGAAGTTTTTTTGCTAAATTCCCATGTAACTCTATCTTGGGTTTTTGGTTTTTTTTTTGCTCCACAAACTAATACAGTTGCAATTATACGTTGTTAAGAAGTGTAGGAGCTTGTCATCCAAGGCAATATTTAATAACATATGCAGCAAATAAAATAAACCAGACCCTATTTTACAAATAGGGAGTAAAAAGGGTTTTTTAGTGATTGGTAAGGTTGGGGATTCAAGAATGATATTCTAACTTAACAGGACTGACACAACACAGACAAGGCTGCAATGAATTTTTATTAGAGACTTGTATCTCCAGTTAACAATAGAACTTGGTCATTTCCAAAGCCAAAAACAAAGGCAGGGCAGAAGATTTCAGTTGGTGGAAGGTCTGGAAGGAAAGGAAAGTGTTTCAATAATCTAACAAGCAAAGTTAAGCCATTTGTTGACCTTTGATGAAAAAGATTCTGAAAATATAAAACTCACTGAAATGAATAATTTTCAATATATTAAAATAAAATTAATTTCTATCTTTGGCAAGGACAGAAAAATGTCCAGAGAACAGAGGAGGCTGATCACAGAAGCATCAAATTAATTTTGCAGAAAAAATTCCATGCAATTAGAGGTCCCTCAAGAAAACTCTGAACTTGTAATCTCCATTTTAAGATCAATTTATGATCCACAAGTGAGAGATGATAAGGATGTAATTCTCCTTTTAAAAGAAATTCACAATGTGGACATTCTTGCTTAAAATCTAAGGAGATTTTGCTCGTTCCATGAAGTTAGAAATTTACAAGCTTTGCAATATTTTCAAACATTTATTTTTAATTCTAGAGTCCTGCAGATGCTATCTCAGGGGAAGAGGAGGGGCACAGAGGCTTCTATGACTAACTGCAAAAGCTGGACAAGAGAAATTTCCCAATAAAAGAGTTGGGGGCTGCTGTCCTAAATTTTGAGATATACTGGACCACTGGGCCAAGCATAACATAATAAAAACTAACTAACTTTGAAAATCTAATAACTCATTTCCATAGAGAGATTTTAAAAGTGAAAATTAAGGGCAAATGTACTCATGGCACCAGACATTTACTTACTTGGCCCATTCCACATTTAGGATCAGGTGATCATAACCAAAGCCAGACACGCCTGCAATAGCCCTGGCAGCATCCTCACAGCGGTGGAATCTGATGAACGCAAAGCCCTGTAGGAAAGCAATTGGAAGAGTGGTAAGAAGCAGCAAGCAAGTAGGAGAACATTGCCAACCTGCAGGGAATTTCTCCTTTTCGCCTATGGAAAGTGTGTGTTTTCTCCCATCCCACTTATCCCTCCCTTACCTTGGATTGCCCAGTGGTTTTGTTCTTGGCCAGGTAAATGCGGGAGATAGATCCGAAAGGACGGAAGAGCTCCTGAAGGTCAGTCTCCCGGGTGTCCTCAGACAAATTGGTCACACGAATGGTGGCATTGTCATCAGCTATGGGTGGGAGTGAAAAGACGAAGAGATGGCTACTGGCAGAAGCTGAAGGACTGGAAGCTGGTGCCCATGCCAATACATGCTGCTGCTAGGACACAGCAGACTTAGAGACAGCTTCCCTTTGCAGAAACTCACCTCTGCGATTTGGCTGCATGGACTCCCCTCTGCGACTGGCTCCGTCTCTCAGGCTGGGTGGGACGTACTTCCCAATCTTGTTCTGCTGAGCCTGAACAGGCTCTGGTTCTGGAAACAAAATGTGGCTTAAGCAAAAGTTTGTGCACTGCTGCCCTCCACTGTCTCTGACCTTTGCAGCTCTCACCTCCAGGGAGTTTCTCCTTTTCGCCTGTGGAAAGACCCAGCTGCTCAGCTAGTTCCTTCTGCATGGGCCCCAGCGTGTCTTTATAAGGGCAGCGAGTGGTCCAGTGATCGCCCTTGCAGATACGGCATGATACAATCTTCTGCCCTGTTAGCTTGTTCATAGGGTCTTCCTCCTCTTGGCAATTCAAGTCCTGGAAAAGCGAAATGATAGATAAATGAGTAAAAGCTTATCTGACTCCCTTTCCCTCTCCTGAATCCATGCAAATGTCTCCCTATCTTCTTCACATATGCCAAAATGTGAATAAGCATAGCTAGTACAACCTCTGCAGAACAATGCAAAAGGAATGCACCCATTTCTCTGACCATTCATCCACTAACTGTGAATGCAATCTGGCACTCTCGAGAGATACTGTGATGGCAACTGCCAGAATTCCAGGGAAAAATAATTACAGAATGATTAATATCCTGCATGTCACCACTCACCTCCTTGCTGGTTATGAAAGTCATAAAGACATCATCGCTCACAGTAGTAGTAGCCACATTTATTATAGTTTGAAAGAAAACTTCTACAAAATGATGGTACTTAACCCCAGATAGACTAACAAAAATGTGTAAATGTGTAAAGGGATTTCTAGTAAGTGCTGGAAATGTAATCAAAATGAATCCAGGTTCATTTTATAATATGTGGTGGTCTTGCAAATATGTGAAAATATACTGGATAGACATAACAATGACAATGCAAAAAATGTTTTAAGATACTACTATTAATGAAAGCTAAAGCTTTTCTTTTAGATATGATGGACAAGACAATTGAAAAACAATTTGGAATGCTATTCCTTCACATGGTGACGGCTGCAAGGACTGTACTTGCCAAATACTGGAAAGGAAAAGAGATGCCAACTGTCGAAGAATGGATTTTGAAATTGACTGAACTAGCAGAGATGGCTAAATTAACTTGATTAGAGATAATGGACTAGATTTTATAAGAGAATGGAAACAGCCTGTAGACTTTCTACACACTAAATATAATAACAGAGTGATTTGAAGATTAGTGTAATGTGGAGCCTACATGTTAAATTTTAAATTTAATTGGTCACTTTTTCTTCTTTTTTTGTACATTATTTTTTGTTGTTGTTGTTAGGGTTGAATGTATGCTTTTGTTTTGTTTCATTTTGTTTGTTTTACGGTTTTGTATTTTATTTTCTATGATAAAACAATAAATACCGTATATGCCGGCGTATAAGGCGACTTCTGCAAGCGTTAAAATCGGCGCCAAAGACGGGGGTTGTCTTATACGCCGAGACGTCTTATATGCCGGAAATACTGGTAGTTTCCGGCATATAAGACGATGTTCTAGGAATGTGGCTTGGCGACAAAGACGGGGGTCGTCTTATACATCGGGTCGCCTTGTACGCCGGCATATATGGTAATATAAAAAAATGACATAACCATTTCTCAAACTTAACAACCATTGCAGCACCCCCATGTGATCAACCTTTGGGAAATTGGCAACCATCTTGTATTTATGACGGCTATAGCATCCTGGGATCATGTGATCGCCATTTGCAACCTTCCCAATAAACAAAGTCAATGGGAGACGCCAGATTCTTTTAACAACCACTTGATTCACTTAATCGCAGTGACTCACTTCACAATCATGGCAAAAAAAACTGGTCACAAAATTGCATGTGACTCACTTAAGAACCAAAATTCTGGTCTCAACTGTGGTTGTAATTCGAGGACTACCTGTAAAGAACACATTGAACTAAAGCTCTTCCCCAGGGTCATGCTTTGCAAACCACAGAACAAGACTTGCAGAGCCCTGTGGGTCACAACAGAGAAATCTTATGTATTTCAGCACTCAAGGAAGCAAGAGCCACGTTCACCTGTCAGAGGGCTCACCTTTCGCCTTGCCACAGCCTTGGAGGCCTTACGAGTCTTGATTCTAAAGGTGCGGATGATCTGTGAAAGAACAGCAACTGATCACAATGTGCTCAGGTGGGAATTAGCAGGGGAAAAAATGGAGAGAGTCTGCAGGATCATCAATATTTTTGCATATGGCTTTCTTAAGTTTCACTATACAATTAAGCTTCAGGTAGTAGTAGCCTGTACCCCAAAGCCTACTTCTCTGAGTCTGCAGAAAAGGACCACGAGGAAAGGAAAGAGGAAAAAGGTGAAGCAGCATCAGCATCTTCAAACCAGGAGAGAATAAGCAGCAAGCAAGTATAGCTAATTCTGCCACAGGACAATAAAAATATATAACAAATGGGGAAGAATTACTCCTCAAGAAAGGCAATTAGCAATGAAAATGGGGATCGCTGTCACAGGCCCTACTAAATAGCAAACAATGAATCAAGAAATTACTGGGAGACCCAGATTGAGGAAGATGAAGGAGACCCCCCTCAATCTTGCTCTCCACTCACCTTCACCTTACGGCCATCTTCCTCTTCTCTGTATTCAGTCACAGTCTTAATGTTTCCATTCACAACTTCTTTGGGAGGTGGGAGGGGCTCTGTAAAAGGTGTATAGGAAGTTACAAAGATTCGCATTTGGGGAACTGGAGACACTTCATATTTTGCTTCCCCCCCCCCAGACATTCAGACAGATACAAATGTAGTTCCTACCTCCTTTTACAAGTTCTGGCTCGATGGTCACACTTACACCTCCATTTTCGCTCAACACACCCGTCAGGGGAATATCTTTGAGCAAGTCACTGGTAATGCATTTATCTGTGACGGAAAAGTATAAGGAGTTCATAAAATTCTCTGTTACAGCAAATTAAGCGGTCAAGGATTTATCAATTTGGAAGCAAAGTAGATTCATTCAAAATAAATGAATAATAATACACTACATACATAGAAGTATAGAGTTCTACAATATTTTAAAAGCTCCAAATATAGCCATTTAGGCATGTGTACTTCAGGACTAAATTTGTATTTGAGCCGATCTTTCCTACTGTTCAGCTTCACTGTTATCCAATGGAACATATTGCTTGTCAATTTAACTTATCCAGAAAGAAAGTATCAATATCAGCCTTACAATGTTGTTAGGGAATAAAATCAGAAGAACTGTCCATATACATTTTCTGAAGAATGCAAATGCAAATAACAAAACAAAACCCCACCCACCATAGTAATGGAAACATGCAAGGAGACTGAAGTTATAAAGGCCTGAAAAACGCTGGGATTTATGTAACTTGATAAACAAAATCAGATAGCTTTTAAAGTAAATTAATACTACGGAGGTTTTCTTGACATTGCTTCTTACTGAAATCTCAGTGTAAGATTCCAAAAGGGACAGATGGAGAGATTTTGTGAGATAAAACCCATCAGGGAAACAAGAAGTTACTCTTGGCTAAGCAAGGGGCCAATTAAATGCACATTAAATTTCTCACCATCATCTCCTTCTTCTTCCACTTGATCTGCCCAACTGGGCTTGGAGCTAAAAGAGATAAAAATATCAAGTTAGGCACCTACCCTCAGATCCCATAAATATATGTATCCTTCTTCAATTTCATAATCCTAGGATTGGTCTCTCATATGTAGTACTTATTCTATTACTCAATATGCTCTGGATTCCATTCTAACTCATTTCCACCAGGTGCACGCTTGCTTCTTTGGATAGCAAGAAATAAAAGTTATTTCTGAACATACTTTAGTTTGTAATAAAATAATATTTCCAGGTTTAAACATTTTTAGAGCTTTAATCAAAATATCTATTTTGGTGAACTGCTGTTATTTTCTCTTTTTTCTGTATTCCAAAGTCATGTGTTGTGTCTCCTAACCCTATTTCCTTTGTCCTCAAACTATAATTCCATCACAAAAAGCCAGTTTGGTTGGTGGTTTAAACATTAGCCTAGAAGTCAGGATACTGTGAATTCTAGTCCTCCCTTAAAACCAGTTTGGTGACTTTGGGCTAGTCACCCTTTTTCACCCAACCTAATTCACAGGTTTTTTGTTCTGGGGAAAAAATAGGATACCGACATGTTAGGTATATTTATACTGAACTATATACAAAAAGGTGGGATAAAAATCTAGTAACAATAATATAAACCATTGTCAGTGGATCTTCTGAAATGGCAGCTTCCACATCCTCCAACCCATTCACACAATTACCACTTACATTTTCTATCCACATTGTACTTGTTTTCTTACTTCTGAAAACTCATCTTATTCACATCAGATGCAATATAATGCACAAAAACACTTTTCAATGCATAATTTGGGATGGACTACTTATAACTTACACATGCAGATTATACTACTGTGTAAAACAATATATAGGAAAAAAACGTTGGGTTGGAAAGAGGCTTCCACTTTAGTTCCTTCATTAAAACATGAAGGTCGCTGCTTTTTTTTTTTTTTTTTTGATACCAGTTCGTCATGGGAATCGCCATTCCACAAAAGAAGTGCAACCACCCAGTCAAAGGTTTAGCTCCCTTCAATGAAAATGGGGTCACGCTCAGCACTTCACCCCCTTTCCCAGGGGACTGCACTTCCTATCCAGGGTGCATCGGTGGGAATTCATGGCGGGCTTTTTTACATCGCTACCTTCGCCCTCCATTTAATTTTTGTTTATATTACTGAACTAGCAACCACAAAGGTGTTTAGAAAAGGTTCAATGGCGCGCGAGGAGTGGAGGCCCGACTCAGTCGAGAGTTCGTATCCCAGCCTTTCATGCACGTAAAGCAAGAATATGCTGGATGTACGGACGTGTGCATGTGTGAATTCACACAGAGACAGTGTTTCTGAGTTTGTCTACTTTTCGGATAACAGGCGACGACACGTGTGCGCCTTCCCCAGTGCCTTCCCTCCCTTGTCATGCCCAGGTAACACCTGCCCCCCTACCAATCCCCCAAACCCCCCCCCCCGCTGGCTGTTCTCACTCGTAATCGCCAGTTGGCATCGTCGACGATGGAAGAGCAGCAAACGGAGCCAAACAACCCAGGCATGGTTCGAGGGCAGGAAGTGGGTGCCGCAACGCATAAGCGTGACGCACAATAGAGCGCCGCAAGAGGCATCCTGGGAGGTGTAGTTCTGCTGCTCGACACAAGCGGAATCGTGCTCAGTTTCGCCTGTGTGACAGTTCAGACACGTGACAGGAGAGAAGATTGTCCATGAGAATCACTTAAAATATTAGTTCCCTGCGTTGATACTTTTGCATAATATATATTTTAAACCAACACATATTATTTTGCCCCACGTGATTGAAAGAACATACTAAATTCAAACGGACTGGTTTGAATATATGAATAAACTACAAAATCCTCTATATGAATGAATGTTTGCCCATCGCTCGTTTTTTGGTCCCTGAGTAAGGATATGTGTGGTCATACAGTAACTGGATTCAGACCTAACCTAACCATAATGCAATTTAATTCGTTTTGGTTTAATCAGGTGGGTGAATTGGGTATATTAACCATGGGTTAGGGTTTACTATGTTGTGCAGATCTAGCCAGTTGTAGTTTACTGAGTATGCCAAGATTAAGCTGACTGAACACGATGCATAAACTATATTTTCTTAATCCCAATTCCACTCTCCAGCCCCCCTATGCTTAACTCCAATGCCATGACAGGGGTGATCTAGTGTGCATTACCAAGACTTGGTTGAACATAGATAATTCTTCTTTCAGAAATGTGCCCTAGATTTTGAGGATGCAACCAAAAGGATTGTAGCTTTCAGAAATGCCGCTCCCTGGATAGCTGGTTATGAGAATCTGCTGGTGAGATTAGGCCCTGGGAATGCATGGGACTATTGCCACTATATCGGCAGCATTCCTACCTGAGCTCCTCCAGGACACTGGCGTTTTCCAAACTAGTAATAGTGGAGGACTTTAATCTGCCTTCTCTAGGCATAGATTTGGACATGGCTCAGGAGTTCACGGCTGTCATAGAAACTTGAACCTGACCCAGAGAGTTTACAGGGCCAATTTAGAGTAGTGGTCACACTTTGGGGGAGGTATGTACCTTTGACTCAGGGTTGACTCCTGGTGCCTGCTTAGAAAAGTCTCTGCAGTTTTCTCGGCAACATTTCAGAAGTGGTTTGACATTACCTTATTCCTAGGGTTGAGAGAAAGCGACTGACCCAAATTCACCCAGCTGGCTTTGTGCCTAAGTTTAGATGAGATGGAATTGGGAGTTATCACTATCTAGCTCTTGCTGTGATTGAGCACTGTTAATTCTGCAATCACTTCTTGCTGCAGGGTAGAAGCACCAATTAAACTGGTCTATCCCATATGTCTGATGGACGCTGTTAGGTTTTAAAAGGAGCTTAAGGTAACTAAAACTCTGATGCATACTTTTTATGAAATTGTCATTGCTGCTTGGAAAGAGGGGGCAACCATGGTCTTGATCATACTGTGCCTGTGCAGGCTCACTCTGTCCATAGATTCCAAAGAATGCCTTAGAGCTCTAGAAGAATTGGAAGAAGATACACTTAATTGTCATTGAAGGAAAACAATGATAAAAAAAAATGGATAGAATCCTTTCTTAAAAATCACCAAAATAGCAGTAAGTGACAAAATATAATTATTTTTCTGCTCTTATTACATCCAGATAGCTGTGCAACAGCCTTTAGAACAGTGGTTCTCGACCTATGGGTCGGGACCCCATTTGGGGTCGAACGACCATTTCATGGGGGTCACCAAACAACGCAGTCCGCCATTTTTCCCCCTTTTCCTTAGCTGTGCTATTCCCTTTTATTCTATTGGCTTTTGAAAGCCAATAGAATAGACTCTCTTGAATAGAGTCTAATTCTATTGGCTTTCAAAAGCCAATAGGAATTATCCAGGCTGTCTCTGCCCTGCTGAGCCCGCCAAAAGTCCCATTCTGCAAATGGTGCTGCACCAGTTGAGTAGTCCTCGACTTACGACTGGTTGGGGGTCGCGGCATTAAAAAGGTTGAGAACCACTGCTTTAGAATGTCCTAATTTCTTCTAAGGAGAGGGGCCCCAAGGCTGAAACTCTAAGCCTCTGTGGGATAAAGTAGTGTGGATTTCTTCAAATTTCAATTGTGCAATTTCCTTTGAAACTAAGATACAATCCAGGATGGTTGCCTGGCACAAATTTGAATCCATTAAAGGTCATCCTTGTCTTACAACCATTCATTTGAAATTTCACATCTTCCTTCCCCTGTCCTTGCCACCTTCTACAGAGCCTCCTGTCATACAGCATTACAGTCTGGTTTGGAAGCATCACTTCTTCAGACAGGAAGGCTGGTGAGGATGGCTGAAAAGATCATTGGCAGTTCCCTCCCTTCCATCCAGGACATAGCATGTAAGAGTTGCTTGAGCAGGGTCCACAGTATTGTCTGGGACTCTATACATCCTCTTCATGACCTGTTTTTCTTGTTACCTTCTTGGAGGAGGCTTCATGGTATCTGAAGCAGACGATCCAGATCCAGTCAGTTTTGTTCCATATAGTATTAGTGTTTGTGAACTCTAAAGCTTCCTCTTTCCACTATGTATTCAAGATGGACAGTGATTAATATTTTTGTTATTTATTTATAAAGGTGTAGGTTTATACATGTTTAAATGTGTGCCCATGTTCTATCTGCTATCTGAAGATGTACTGTCTCAGAATGATTATTTGGCATCATTAGATATGTCAGTGAACAAAATTCTTTTTAGTTGCTTGAAAAATGGAGACCATTAGGGTCCTTTTTACTGAAAACATAGCAAACTTAGGTTTACAAATGACAATAGTATAGTCCCTGAGAAGCACTCGAAATAATAGCTCCCTGCAATGATACTTTTGCATAATATATATTTTAAACCAACACATATTACCCAAGCTGAGATTATTTTCCAAGAGGCATTATTGCCTTTGGAAGAACATACTAGGTTCAGTGAGGCTGCTTTTGAATATGGACTTGTGATATTACTGCTACAAAGCCTTCCTGCTTTGTAGCAGCATCCCTACATGAGCTCCTTCAGGCCATGTTTCGGTTGACGCTGGAGCTTCCCAAATTAGTAATAGTGGAGGACTTTACTCTGCCTTCTCTGGGCATAGATTTGATCATGGCTCAGAAGTTCATTGTGCAAACCATGCCAGTTTCTTCTTGGATTTCTTGTTTTTATTCTGAGTTTGTTAAAAATCTGCTCTTTTAAAATTTAAGACACTGGATTATATTCTATTGCTTGTGTTTGCACTGTGTTTTCCTTTGACGAATGAAGGCAAACATTCCATATTCTGGTGAGAGAGAAGTTCCCTGAGGAGGGGCTCCAGCACAGGTCCAAAAGCTTACAAGACCAAACCTCTGGTCCCGATGACCGACCCAGATTGGATCCTGCCATTTCCTTTGAGATAAGGCATGGTCCAGCATGTCTGTCTGGCATGGGTCTGAACTCATTACAGGTAATCATTGACTTACATCCATCCAGGAATGTCTAAACCTTTGCACGCAACTGTATTGGGTAGCTTGGATGTCTGTATTGCACTAAGGATACATGCCCCTTTTTGTATCTGTATTATGCCCACATATACATGTGATTTAAAAAAATAGCAGTAACAGAAGGACAGATTGCCTTCTTTTTTTTAGCACGCCATTATCAATTTCCTGCAGGACTAATAGCGACTTCACTGTAACCTAGACAAGTGTTCAAGTTAAGCTGTCAGGACAAACTATGACTCTGATCAACTAACCAAAACTGCTATGATTATAGCCTTGTGCTTAAGAAGCTGTGCTAGCCAGAGTCTAACCCATGGTTAAATATGGTTTGCCACATTGTACAGATCAGTAAGTATTGTCTTTCTCGCAGCAACAGAAAACTGCTCTGAAGAGAAACATGGCCTGTCTCAGTTAAGATGATAGGCATGTAAGGATAAAGCTTGTCACAGTGAACAGACTAAATGAGTAAGTACTGACCAATCAAAAGATTGGTGTAACAATGGTAGATCCCAGAGGTAATATTAGCCAAATTAAATGCAACAGGGGACAATCATTTGAAAAAAATCAACAATGGCCCTCTAATAATTTATAGGAGATTTATTTGAAGAAATATTACAACATATAAAAACTACATAAAGTATTATTTCCACTTGTATAAAGTGGCTGATTAGTTTTCAATACAATGCATAATAAAAACATTCTCCACTCCCCCAACTCATACACACACACGCACGCACGCACACACTTACACACACATGGATAGGCACTGCACAGTTGATCATTTGAGAATGGCAGCGGGAACATTGAAACAGTTTCAGAATGTCAACCAAGTAGACAACACTGTTCACAAATACAGGCTTAAAAGGAGAGAGACAAACACATACACGCACAAAAAAACTAAAACCCTGAACAAACCAAAACCTCCAACAATTTTCAGCATGTCCAGAGGTAAGAAAATAAATCAGGAAAATAACAGAAGAACATTAAAAATTATCAGTGCATGTTTGGGTGTTCAGGTGCTGGAGCTGTGGTGCAGCAGATGGGCAATTTACAAATTACTTTGACGTGTCCATCTTTTCCTGTTTGATGCCATCTGTAAAGAAGCAAAACAGCTAGCTGGTCAGAAAACAAGACCACATTAAAGCTCTCATCTACAGAGAATATGGTCCTCTGGAAGTAACGGATCAGCTTATCACTTTCTTCTGGATTGGAAAGAAAATGGCTTCCTGCTTACTGACTTCCCAAGTGCATCTTGGCACAGCAGCCATGCATCTTTGTATCTACACCACCTTCAAACTGTTAAGGCGTTTCAGGTGGGGGCCACCATGTTTTTGGTCTCCATGCCAACCCCCCTAAGATAATAAACAAGCTTTGGACAAAGTTCAATTAGTTGTTCTATTTGGAGGACTCCATAGGATGCACAACCCTAACTACAATCCTAATTTAGAGAAGACCAGATTGAGTTGTGCTACCTGGTTCACAGCAAGTGCAAAACTGCTTGAGCTTCTGAAATACAGAAATCAAATGTCCCTTTGCAGATAAGTTCAGTGACATTCCAATAACATACCTGTGGCATCCTCTTTCATTTTTGCCAACACACACAGTTTGATTTCTAGCCCAAT